TGCCCCTCTGCACTGGGGCAAAAAGCCACCTCTTTCTCTCAGAGCACTGGTTGCTTTGAACTGATGACCTTATGGTTCTCAGCTGGAAGCTTATCCCACTAGCCCCCCAGGGCACACTTAGTAGACCTATTTCTTTTTGTGCTTCATTCCATTAATCCATGTTAAGTCCAGTTTTGGTTCCAAGTATCAACTGACATATTTAAAATGCATTGACTGTGGCCCCAGCTAAGGAGCTCCACTGTTAACCGAAAGGTTTTGGAGGTAGGAGTCCACCCCAGGTGCTTCGGAAGAAAGGCCAGGATAATGGACTTCCCCCCAAAATCAGCCATGGACACCTTTATGGGTAGAGGGTCCCAGGGGTGGCACTTGAAAGCAACTGGTTTCAGTTCTTTTCAAGGTTACAGAGACTATATGCTATACCAGTAAATGTATCACCGTTTCTATGCTTAAAACTGTAGTTTCCATGACTAGAGGCACCCTGGGCAGCCAGCCACAAGGTCAGCAGTTCGAAACCACCAGCTGCTCTGTGGTGGAAAGAAGAGGCTTTCTACTCCGATAAAAAGTGAGTCTTGGAAACCCACTGGGGCAGTTCTGTGGGTTGCTGTGAGCCCGCACGGACTCGACAGCACTGCGTTTTTTGTAGAATAAGGATGACTGCCCACGAGCAAGCTGAGTCTCAGTGAGGAGCCCATCCCCGATGCTACATGGGCAGGGACAGTAAGAGAGGCCGGTTTCAAACGGCTTTCCAATCCCAGCTGTTTCCGTACACCGTCCTGAAGGCATGTGTCCCCTGAAAAGAATTCATGTGGAAGTCCACTGGGAAGGAGGCCTGGTGGCGCAGTGGTTAAGTGCTCAGCCACCAACCAAAAGGGGGGAGCATTTCACCCCACGAACAGCTCCTGGGGAGGAAGAGGCAGTCCGTGGCCTAACGACAGTTTCAGAAACACTCTGCCCTCCAGGCCCACTAGGAATCAGTCAAAAAGTCCAGTCCATGCGTACAAGTCAATCCGCTGGCAATTCGAACCCAGCACAAGGCCAACTTCCCCCTGGGCCGCGGTGCACGTCAGTCTGTGCTGATGGAAACGCGCCCGCACCGCATGATCGCGGTAACTGACTTCCACAAACAGCATGCGTGGAGAAAGGTTTAACCGGCAAATGCCTTGTGTAATGTTTCCATCCCACACACATACTCCCGGAGCTCAGCATAGCCATCGCCGGGGCTCCCGGCTCCTGGTCCCCTTTGATCAGCTCGTATGCTGGAGAACCCCAGACTCTTCTAGTGCCACGCACCCCAATCCAACATGAAGCCCTGCCACTGGCATTCCCCTGCCTGATTATGGGAGATTTCAATCATTACTCAATTCTTCAGCTACCCCGGGCGCCCACTCCCTGAAAAATGAAGCCGAAAATCTTCCCAGTAAAGGTGGAAAACCACGTAAAAAAGGGGGAGGCAGTGACTCTCTCAGAGGCTGGAAGCCTGCCTCACTGCATGAGGCCCTCCCCGGGCCATGGACGCTGACTGGCACAAGGCTGGCAGGAGCAGATGACACTTGCGGCCGCCTGTCTGTCTGCCTTTCTTTGTGAACGACAGCTGCTTCCAGGAAGACGCTCCCTGGCAGCCCTCAGCACCAGGGTGGACAAACCAAAACCACCCTGTGAGCGAGCTTCCAGAGTAGTGCTCCTGAGTGCCCGAGGCAGTTTTTCCATGTGCTTTTATTTAATTCTTGCCGGAGACAGTAAAAGCTGAAAGCCCGCGCGCGCGCACACACACACACACACACACACACACACACCACCCCATCTCCACAGAAAAGCCACAGTTAAGTGGGCTTGCTCATTACATCAGCTCATGAAGAAGTTTCTGGGCAATGAAACGGTTAAGGGCGGTGAGCTAAGGCCGGAACCCTCCCCATGGTGCGTCGGGTCAGAGCCTTGACCATCGTGGGGAGCAGGTCTGCTCTACAGACACAGGTTTACCTGGAATCAGAAGCGACTGGGCGACAGAGATCAGGACACCCGAATTCATGGTGTGGATCTGCACCCCAGATCCTGCATCTCACGCGCTCCCTGAGCTCGGCCCTCGCGTGCAGCAGGTTTGGTTGTCAGGGAGAATTCCAGGTCCGTGCTTCAGAAATCATTACAACCACATTGAGACTGTGTTAGGAAGCACTGGCTCACGGCCACCCTGTGGAACTGCCCCTGTGGGTTTCCGAGATGGTAACTCTTTGTCGGAGTAGAAAGCCTCCTCTTTCTCCCCCAGAGGAGCTGGCGGTTCCAAATTGCTGGCCTTTCAGCCCAAATCGTAACCACCAGGGCTCCCAAGGGTGGCCGTGAGTCAGAATCGACTTGATGGCAGTGAGTTTGTTTTCTGATTTTTTAATGAAGCACTGCCAAATTAAAGTACCCGCTTGTATTGAGTCTGCCAGGTTAACTAACACTCTCTTGATTCCCCGAGGTCACAGAGAAGGGATTTAGGTCACAGAACAGTTAAACTCCGACCAGTGACATTCCGATTTCTCCTTCCCTGATCTTAGGTTCGTCCCTGTGGATCCACGCAGCTCTGTGTCCACGCCCACGGTCCACAAAGCTTTATCAACAGGTGCAAAGAGCTGCTGATAAGCACGGCTTGCAAAATCCCGCCCAGATTTCAAATCTGAAAGCCTGCTGGCGGGCTCTGCCTGGATCTACAGTTCACCAGCAGCCCCCCCTAACCGCCCCCCGCCAGGCGGGAAGACAAGTGCGTTTAAAATAAGGCTTCCTAAGAACAGCTGGGAGGATGGCAGTACTTCCTTCTGCTGGGCATTGGGAACCGGCTGGATGGCTGCTAACAACTATTTGCAGGAAAAGCAAGCATACACTGGTGGTTTGCGGAGGACCCGCGTGGGGAAGTCAAAGCACAGGCATGCCTATTGGTCTTGAGGTTCTCCCTGCCCAGAGCCCCACACCGTGGTTTCTCTGAGCCCTCCAAACTTTCTACTCCCATCCCATTAGACTCGAACACATGTGTCCACATCCCCCACAAAAGGCCACCCACAAGCATGTAGAAACAAGGCTGATCGTTACCAGGTCATCCGAGCCGGCATGCGGAAGAGGAACTGCCCACCATATGCAAGCCATTATATCCTGCTGCTGTTAAATAGGGTCGATCATTTAATATGCAATACAGCCAACCAAGCGTACGGAGAAAGCTCGCAATTTGAATTTTTAAATTTTTTGAAAAATGCCTTTAGAAGCAGGTGGAACAAGCCTGATCACAACACATGCGTTTTATCAAAACTTGGATGAGCTGTCAGCTGAATCTCTGAGACAGATATGTTCAAGTTAACACTGCACACGTTGGGGGGGGAGGGCGAGGGGCTTCTCTGAGCAGAATCAGCAGTTTTTACAACTCCAGGCACTTGCACGCGCATTCGCGTTTCCTTTGATCCTCAGCATGAGTCTGCAAACCGGAGGGCCAAGTAACACAACCCCAATTCCAAGGGGGAGGATCGGCAAGCTTCCCTCTCTACTGTGGGGCAAAAAAAAAAAAAAGATGGATTATAGACCACGGGAAAGGTGCCCTGGTGGTATAGTGGTTACGAGCTGGACTATGATCTTCAAGGCCGGCAGTTCGAATCCACCAGCAGCTCCATGAGAGAAAGGCTGAGTTTTCCACTCCTGTAAACAGGTACAGTCTTGGAAACCCCCAGGGGGGTCACTGAGTCAGCATGTATTCTGCAGCGGTGCATGTTCAGAGCGCATTCCACGGTGTCGCATGCAGGGAGCACTCTCACCGCTGCTGGGGGACTTGAGAAACGGACGTGCACTTGAGCTAAACATAATCTGACCATGGCGTCCTTAGGTGGTACAGACGGTTAACGGAAAGGTCTGCGGTTCAAGCTCACTCCGAGGTACCTCTGAAGAAAAGCCAGGTGAGCTCCTCCTGAATAATCAGCCCTTCAGACCCTGGTGGAGATCACGGTTCCCTGGCACCCGTGAGGCTGCCGCAAGTCAGCATCAACCAAACCTACTGCAGTGGAGTAGTTGAACCTCTAGACACACTAGAAATGCCCTCTGGGGTTTCCAAGGGAGCCCTGATGGTGTACTGAGTTCCTCATTGTTACGAACCACAAGGTCAGCAGTTCAAAACCGTCAGCTGCTCCGCAGGAGAAAGATGAGGCTTTCTGTTCCCATAAAGATGCACAACCTTGGAAACCCAATGGGGCAGTTCTACTCTGGCCACAGGGCTGCTGTGAGTCGGAGCTGACTAGCGGACTCACTGCCATCGAGTCACTGCTGACTCAGAGCAAGCCCCTGTGGGTTCCTGAGACCGTAACTATTCACGGGAATAGAAAGCCTGGTCCTTCTGCCTCTGAATGGCTGGTGGTTTCGAACTGCGGACTGTGTAGATCACGGCCCAACTCGTAACCACTATACTGCCAGGGATCCTTGACCCGAGGAGAGTGAGGTTTTTTGTTGTTGTTTTTTAATACAAAAGATTATTTAATTGTTTAAAAAACATTGATTGAACTACATTCCAGCAGTGTCTAGTAGTATGTACATCATTTTACACTTAAAAAAACTAAATACTTTTATTGGGGGCTCTGACATGTGTTATCACAATCCATACATCCATCCATTGTGTCAAGCACATTTGTACATATATTGCAATCATCATTTTCAAAGCATTTTCTGTTTTACTTGAGCCCTTGATATCAGCTCCTCATTTTCTTCTCCCCCACCT